ACAGAAGTTTGACTTCACTCCATTGTCTCTTGAGACAGATTGATACGCCAACAATCTGCAGTGACCAGCAGCTGAAGTATTGCATGCGGTGGAGATATAAGCATGGTCAGCCCATGTCTGCAGACCAAACAGCAGTCAAGGACCACAGAAGCAGTGTTGGTGGAAAAAGAAAATAAAGGCTGGTGGCAATCTAGTTATTGAATGGTTCATGGAGTGTCATGTATGAAGCTGTGTAACTTGTACTGAGTCAGACCATTGGTCCATCAAGGGTCCTGTTGTCTATATCAGGGGGGACTGGGGGCCTGTGTCCTTTCATACTGCATCACGGTGTGGCACGCTGGTTTGACATCAACTGCTAGGAAGTGCCTACAGAGGGTGGTGAATATAGCACAATATATTATAGGCTGTCCCGTGAATCCGCTGGATGACATTGCGGAAGAACGTTGCCTTCGGAGAGTGAGGAAAATTCTCAGGGGTGATTCACACCCTGGCCCGCACTTTCTTGATCTCCTGCCCTCAGGCAGAAGATATAGAATCCTGATTAGTCACACCAACAGGGTAAAGAACAGCTTCTGTCCGTGGGCTGTTAGGCTGCTGAATGAAAAGATAACAACAGGGCAACTGACTTTCGAGTTTGGTGGGTGTGCGTCAGTAAACGAGGGGAATTAAGACTAAGAGAGCTGAGTGGGGGGTGCTTGTGTAATCTCACTGTATACAAGTTGTACAAGTGACAATAAAGTATTTCAATTCAATTTCAATCTACAATTCCCATCCTGTGGAATTGTACAATTCCTGCCCTGTGGAACGCCCTTCCTTCAGATGTGAAGGGAATAAGCAGCTATCTTCTTTTTAAAAGACATCTGAAGGCAGCCCTGTTTAGGGAAGTTTTTAATATTTAATGCTGTATTGTTTATAACACTTGATTGGAAGCCGCCCAGAGTGGCTGGGGAAACTCAGCCAGATGGGTGGGGCATAAATAATAAATTATTATTATTATCCTCCCAGAGCATTGGCTCTGCTGCCCAGGAGTGATGGGAGTTGGAGTCCAGCAGCATTTGAAGGGCCATAGGCACCCCATCCCTGGTCTACATTAACCAGCTGTGGCTCTCCAGGATCTTTCCCAGCCCTGCCTGGAGATGCCAGGGTTTGAACCCAGAAATGTTTGCATGCAAAGCAGATGCTCTACCACTAACCTGTTCCACTTGCGTCACTGGACTCACTTTAGCCTACTGTTGTGGGGGGGAAAGGCTTATGTGCTGGTCCAGTTGGTCAGCATGTAGTTCCCTCCTCTGGCCAGAGGTGGGGGTGGTGTGCAGGCCGGCTTTCCCAAGGGTCCAAGTTTCAAGCCACCACTACTAGCACATCATGCAAGAGGCTACACCAAACCTTCCTCTGCAAAAGGCTAGTTTGCAACCTGCAGGAATAATTTCTTTTTCACATAAGGGAGCCATTCAGAGACACAAAGCGGTACAGCCTGGTCTAAAGTGGTACAAGCTGGGATTTCGGCCATTCCAATCTACTGCCTCGTTCTGCGTGATGGGTAGATCAGGTCTGAAAGTTCTGAACTAAGGAGAACTAGGAGGAAGCAGCCAGGAGACATTCACGCTTTTCCAAATCTTGCAATGCAGTTTTGCAACAAAGAAAGGTGTACAAAAATGCGTAAGCTTGGGTAGCACCCACATATGAATTCATATATTACTGAAAATTGCGTACAGAGATGTGTTATGTTATGTGAAATTGCTTTGTGAAAATGTTTATAGTAGGCACAGCTGCATTAAAAATGTGTATACTGGGAGAAATTTGCACCAAAATGCTGGTTTTCTTTCTTTCTTTTGCATATATATATACCGGTACGTTTTTATTACTTTTTTCAAACATTTTCACAATAACCTTCAAATCAAATACATTGTTTCATAAGTTGACTCCCACCCTCACCACCACAGCATTTTTACTCAAACCTTTTCTACCGCATAATATTACCTATTACCCAAATTTTCTCTATTGCAATTATTTCTGAAATGTTGATTTTCATGAGGTGTTTTAAAAAATAAAATAAAAAAGTGATGTGATGTGGACACGTGGGGAAAAGAACTGAAATCTGGAAAAATGAGAAACTGAGAAAAACCCTGGTTGACCATCACCTCCATGGGACAGACAGCACCTTTGGGTGCTAGTGGATTAAAAACCACTTCTGCTGTGCTATTTCCCTGAAGTTACTTGCTTCCCCCAACTGCTTTGCATTTAGAAAGAAACTTCACAAGCCATGGAAGACAGAATCCTAGCTGCCCCCTGCCTTGTCTTCTTTGGCCCTGAAACTAGAAGAAGCAGGCACGGCAAATAAATTGTAAATAACTTTTTTAAAAGCAAACAAAGACGAATAAATTGTGAGTGGGACTTTTTATCTGCCTCTGCATTCGGCCTCACAGCACACAAAGTCCCCTGGTGCTGCCATCACAGGCCCAAGCAGCATTAAAAAGTTGCCTTCTCTCAATGTGCATCAGCTAGCCATTGAATGAAATGGCTGTCATCATCTGCGCCGTAGACTTTTCAGATGCTGTGCATGAGACGATTCTCATGCTCATAGCTTCTTTCCAAGAATTATTCTCAGGAAGAGGTACTATGGAGACACCCAGACCCAGCTATATATTAATATTTTATAGTGACAGTGTTATTTTCTCTGTGTGTGTCTGCATATAGTTTGGAATGCACTTTCCATGTAAACAACTCTCTTAATATTTCATCCCCCTCCTTCCTCCCCCCCCATGCATTCTACAGGCAATTTTTTTATGATATGCAAATACATGATGGAATAGTCTGGGAAAAGATGCACCACCTCTGTACTGAGGCTTGGAGTGGGAGAGACCCCAATTTCGAAAAATTATTCATTGGGGGGGGGGGGAGATGTTAAAGACCATGCATTTAAAGGAATTATTGAGTGCCCCATTCCACAATGGAATTATCCACCCTTCCTCTGGGTGCAGCTGAATCTTTTCCAGCATAGCCCTGGGAGCTGTAAAAATAAATGTTTTGGCTGATCCAAACACTGGATTCAGTGCCTTGGTGTGCTATTTCATGGGCAGAATTGGCCATAAAGCCGGGTTTGCATGCCTGGCGGTGCTTCTTTCGCTTCTTAATTCTAACTTCTGCATTAGGCTTTTGTTTAAACGGGGATGACAAATGATGAAGAGAGTCCATAGTCCTTAACATCCTTAACACCTGTGAGTCCGCAGCTTGCTGGCAACCCCCACGATATTGTATTTCTCCTACAGCCACAGCTGGCAGAGGTATCTTGTTTTGTGAGAATTTCATTCCTCCTTTTTATGTCTTTAAACACACACACATATAGAGGGATATATTTCTTACCCCCATAATATTTTCAGAAGACTCTGGATATATGTTCTGTGTCTAAAAGTGAGTTTTTAATATTGCTGGCAAGTGGGAGAGAAAGATGGTCGTTCACTATTGTTTATCTCCAACACCTGGTCATTGCTGAGATGGTGCCTCTGACTGGGGAACTTGGAGGCAGATCATGTTAAGAGCTTTAAAAAGTAAAATAAAAGAAGCCTTCAGTTGTGCCTGGAAACTAAAAAGGTAAAGGAACCCCTGACCATTAGGTCCATTCGTGACCAACTCTGGGGTTGCGGTGCTCATCATGCTTTATTCGCCGAGGGAGCCAGCGTACAGCCTCCGGGTCATGTGGCCAGCATGACTTAGCCGCTTCTGGTGAACCAGAGCAGCACACGGAAACGCTGTTTACCTTCCCGCTGGAGCGGTACCTATTTATCTACTTGCACTTTGACGTGCTTTTGAACTGCTAGGTTGGCAGGAGCAGGGACCGAGCAACGGGAGCTCGTCCCGTCGTGGGGATTTGAACCGCCGACCTTCTAATCGGCAAGTCTTAGGCTCTGTGGTTTAACCCACAGTGCCACCCGCGTCCCTTGCCTGGAACCTACTTAGTAGCTAATTCAGTTCATTCAAAACTGGGGCGATATTCTAGGAACGTATCAAACATAAGGACATAGCATACCCTCCAACATTTCTCCAATGAAAAGAGGGATGTCGTATTCCGTAAGAATTTTATTATTTATACCCCACACATCTGACTGTGTTGTCCCAGCCACTCTGGGCAGCTTCCAGCATATATAAAAACATTAAACATTTTTTTTAAAACCTCCCTATACAGCATGGATATGCAAACTAAGGCCTGGCGGCCAGATCCGGCCCAATTGTCTTCTAAATCCGGCCCATGGATGGTCTGGGAATCAGCGTGTTTTTACATGAGTAGAATGTGTCCTTTTATTTAAAATGCATTAAAATGCAGGGGGCTGCCTGGTGTTTTTACATGAGTAGAATGTGTGCTTTGGACTTTGGACATGCCTGTAAATCTCTCCTTAAGAAGGCAAAGAAGTTCAATTCTAGTGGAGAGGTTTCTATTCCTAACATTTGAGCAATGCTGGCATAATCTGATAATTTTCAAATGGTCTGATTACAATAGTGGGTGCCTACACAGTTTGTGGTCTATCAAGGCAAATGCAGCCAATCACACTTGTGTTATAGGGCTATTTACTTGACAACCTCCCTCCTTTCATGGTGCCAGACATGCAACAAACCCCTAGTAGGTCGGACACAAATAGGTGGTTACTGTTAGAGCCGTCCTGGGTCAGGGTTGTAAGCCACCGTCCAGTTAGAAGGGCCAGAGGTGAGTATATAGTCCAGATACAGCTGGACTCAAGGTCCAGGGCAGTCCACAAACATCAGTGGGGCCTGAGACAGGTACACAGACAAGGCTAGCTAGAAGATCGGGTTCCAAAGGGAAGGGACTGCTTAAAGGAAGAGGAGGAGAAGGAACGGTCCAGGATAGATGAGCAAGAACAGGAAACTTCTGTTTGGATAGACCCTGTTCCTCTGCAAAAATGTGCATGCTATATTTTTACTACTGCGGCTTCCACAGTGGTAGTGATGTGTCCTTTTTGTATGTGTGTTTCTGTTTCCCACCCCAGCTTGCAAGGCCCTTGCTGATGAGCTGGCCTACGACATCAAGAAAATAGGTCCAAAGAGGACTGTGAATTCGGGGACATTTCGGCTCAACCCTGATGGCACAAGAGGGAAGAAAAAGGTAAGAGGGAGAGACATGGAGGTACGTAATAATTGCCAGCATGTGCAATTACCAACCACTTATCCAAACAGCGGTTGGTCTCTTAATCTTCTAACCTTTTCCTTGGTAAGACCAGCAGCCAGTAAATTGCTTCTCTTTCCTCTGGGAGCCAAAGTAATCTATGAGCTTGAAATTGAGGTATTTTTTCCAGGACCTTTTATTTTTGGAGGTGGGCTTTTAAATGTTGAGAGGGTAGTATTGTTCCGTTGCTAGACTGTTTCTTTTTTCTTTTTTAATATAGACAATCAGAACCACACAAGGCGCTGAGAGAGAGTGAGGAGGAGGGATGAGATGGAGTAGAAGTCTCTACTCAGAGTCAGCTCTCATGGGCAGCTTTCCCCGGTCATGAGAGTCTTAAGATCTTATCCCTGGGCAATTTGTTCAATTTATTCTGCTCACCATGAATGTCTTCTGTTCATGCACCTCTTGAAGAATGTTGGTTCAGAACTGGAAGCAAGGCCCTGAATTTGTCCCAGTGGGCAAGAGGGTTATGACCAGTTTATAAAATGAGTTGCAAATGGCTGGTTCATTTCAGTTTGTGAAAGATGTAAGAATAGCAACAATATCAAAGGAAATCAAAAGAAAATTATGCATGGCACATCATAACATTTTTGTTGAGACAAGCCTAACCAGACATGGAGACTGTTTACGTGTGTGTGTGTGTGTTCTTTATTGAAAGATAAAAAGTAATGTGTATATAATTGTAAGTGCACAGGATAAAATAAGACATGAAAAGGGGGGGCAGAGAAAAAGGAAAAGGGGGAAAGAAATGACACCCATATCCAATACAAAACGAAAACAACAGAACTTATAAATATTACAAGATTGTTATTTAACCTATTACGGTGTTTATACAGTAGAAATGAATTCCAAATATCAGTTTTCACTTATCACTGATTTTAATTATTATTCAAATGTTTAAAATAGTTATATTGTTTCATTCTTTTGGTAAACTGCTTGAGGTTTTGTTTTGCTTTTTTTTTTTACAGTCAAGCGGTATATAAATTTTATGAAATAAATAAATACAGTGCCAGATCTACAAATTTTGCCTTAGGAGGCAAAGGCCTGCCTTGATGTCCCTCACTCTGCTGCTGAGAGCAGTTGCCAGAGGGACAGGAGATGAAGGCAATAAAGTCTTACTCCTCTTTGTGTCTCATGATGTCATGGGCTGGTGGGACACAAAGGAATGGTGGGAGAAACAAGCTGGGGAAACACCAAGGGAAGAAGGCTCAGAGGCAGGGGACTGGTGATAGGACGACAATGAGTGGTCAGAGAGAAAGGAGGGAGAAGACTGCAAAGAGGGGTTGTCAGAAGCTGAAGGGGTAACAGGGCTTAGTGAGCTGGGAGTCTCTGTGGCAGACAGAAGGCGAGAATCATAGGCAGAAGTTGAAGCAGGGGAGGAGGGAGGCCAAGAGGTCAGGCTGGTGAAGAGTCATGGGTGTCTCCCACTCCTGATGTGACAAGCTCCCCTCCCCACTTGTCTCCCAGAACCAGAAGAGGCATAAAAAAGGTGGAGGAAAGGTTGGCTTCAGGCAGGCACAGTCTCTGATTGCTTGGGGAAAACCCTGGAGAGGAGGGGACTTAGACGGCTGTGGAGAGGTGGGGACTTTCAGTCTTGGCAACTGATTCATGGGGCAAAACCTATCAGGGATGAGCTGCTGTGCTCATTAGGCACGACACTCAGCCAAGTGTCATCGGAGTGTGACTCCTCCTTTATGTCCCTGCTGGTTCAATGGGAATACAAAGACGGCCTCGGCCCAGTATACCTGAAGGAGCGTCTCCACCCCCATCGTTCTGCCCAGACACTGAGGTCCAGCACCAAGGGCCTTCTGGCGGTTCCCTCACTGCGAGAAGCCAAGTTACAGGGAACCAGGCAGAGGGTCTTCTCAGTAGTGGCTCCCGCCCTGTGGAACGCCCTCCCACCAGATGTCAAAGAGAACAACAACTACCAGGCTTTTAGAAGACATCTGAAGGCAGCCCTGTTTTAATGTTTGATGTATTACAGTATTTTAAATTTTTTTGGGAAGCAGCCCAGAGTGGCTGGGGAAGCCCAGCCATAAGGGCGGGGTATAAATAAATTATTATTATTATTATTATTATTATTATTATTATTATTATTATTGAACAGCCAGGCCCTTATAATGATGCAAGCACTCTGTAGGCCTATGGCACATGCTTGGTGACTCCTTGGTGACATTCCTGACCTGGTTCTGTTTATTAGAAGAGGTGGGTGGGTTTCAGACAAGGAGTCTCTCCCAGCCCTACCTGGCTATGCTGAGGATTGAGGCTGGGATCTTCTGCTCTGAGCTATAAAGGTAAAGGGATCCCTGACCATTAGGTCCAGTCGTGGCCGACTCTGGGGTTGCGGCGCTCATCTCGCTTTATTGGCCGAGGGAGCTGGCGTACAGCTTCCAGGTCACGTGGCTAGCATGAATAAGCTGCTTCTGGTGAACCAGAGCAGTGCACGGAAACACCGTTTACCTTCCTGCCAGAGCGGTACCTATTGATCTACTTGCACTTTGACGTGCTTTCCAACTGCTATGTTGGCAGGAGCAGGGACCGAGCAATGGGAGCTCACCCCGTCGCGGGGATTTGAACCACCGACCTTCTGATTGGCAAGTCCTAGGCTCTGTGGTTTAACCCACAGCGCCACCTGCGTCCCCCCCTGAGCTATGGTCCTTCCCTAATCACCAGAGGTTGTACCAGGGGACAGAAGCTATTTAAGAAATTATCTTCTGAACTGGGGAGGCAGGGGATGGTTGACAAAAGCTAAGCATGTAGCAACTGACTCCGTGCCTGCATTGTTGGTGTTTCTGTGTGTGTGTGTGTGTGTGTGTGTGTGTGTGTGTGTATACAAGCTCACATGTTGCCATCATGGAGTCATGTTGGTTAACCAAAGAAAGATCTGATACTAACCGGCTGGAGGAGGGGGGAGGAAGTAAAACCTGAGAAAAATAATTTACAGGTAGAATAAATCAGTGGGGGAGGAATAAGTTGCCTTGCTGTCTGCCCCTCCCTTCCGCACTAGGTCAGGTAACTTATTGCAGGTCTTGTTGTTTTACTTCCAATATGGGTATAAATTTGTGTGACATGTCTAGCAGATTATGTGTCCCCCAAAAGAGATTGCAATCCAATATTAAGCATGCAAAAGAGCCACATGGGACTGTGTTTTTTCTCTTCTGTCCAGGACCCACCACCTACCTGTCAATCCACCCAGCCCTCTTTAAATAAATGTTTGTTTTGTTTTATTAGATTTTGTACCTGCCCATCACAGTGAGGTCCCAGCGTATGTTATAAGAATAAAATATATATGGATAAAATAAAGGCCCAGTTTCAACATGTATGGGGCAGACCTCCTGATAAGAGACCTACTCCTGTAGGGCACAGTGATTGATTGGGCATATATGGGCATATACTCTTTGGGGAATCCTGCCCCCAAGCTATATAGGGCTTTGCACATCAGGGCCAGCACCTTGAACTCAGCTTGATGCTGACATGCTGGAGAGAGTTTGGATTACATCCAACCAAATTCTACTCAGAGCAGGCCTATTGAAATTAATGGACTTACGTTGGTCATCACCACTAATGTTGCTGGGTCTACCCTTTGTCGTTGTTTAGTTGTTTAGTCGTGTCCAACTCTTCGTGACCCCATGGATCAGAGCACGCCAGGCACTCCTGTCTTCCACTGCCTCCCTCAGTTTGGTCAAAGTCATGCTGGTAGCTTCAAGAACACTGTCCAACCATCTCATCCTCTGTCGTCCCCTTCTCCTTGTGCCCTCAATCTTTCCCAACATCAGGGTCATTTCCAGGGAGTCTTCTCTTCTCATGAGGTGGCCAAGGTATTGGAGCCTCAGCTTCACGATCTGTCCTTCCAGTGAGCACTCAGGGCTGATTTCCTTCAGAATGGATAGGTTTGATCTTCTCAAGAGTCTCCTCCAGACCATAATTCAAAAGCATCAATTCTTCGGCGATCAGCCTTCTTTATGGTCCAGCTCTCACTTCCATACATCACTACTGGGAAAACCATAGCTTTAACTGTTCGGACCTTTGTTGGCAAGGTGATGTCTCTACTTTTTAAGATGCTGTCTAGGTTTGTCATTGCTTTTCTCCCAAGAAACAGGCGTCTTTTAATTTTGTGACTGCTTTCACCATCTGCAGTGATCATGGAGCCCAAGCAAGTAAAATCTCTCACTGCCTCCATTTCTTCCCCTTCTATTTGCCAGGAGGTGATGGGACCAGTGGCCATGATCTTCGTTTTTTTGATGTTGAGCTTCAGACCATATTTTGCGCTCTCCTCTTTCACCCTCATTAAAAGGTTCTTTAATTCCTCCTCACTTTCTGCCATCAAGGTTGTGAAACCTTTCCCTGGGCATAGTATTCTGTTTCTAGTGTTTGGGTGGGATTGCATCATGCAGGTAGGAGATGATGAAACTGAAAGCTGAGAATTAAGCTGCGTCCACAACAGGGCTAACAACATCTCTTTAAAACAGGAAGTGCCTTCCAGCAATACATTTCATGTTGCCCAATGCCTACGTCTGTGAGATATAAGGGAAAGACAGCAGTTTGACAAATCTAGTTTCTGCCCATCTAGTCACCTCGGCCAAAGTGACATTTATGATTGTCCCCTCCAGATTCAGCATTCCTGATAGGGAGATGTCTCACACCATCTAACCCACGAATGTCTCCTCTGACTGACGGTGGCTCTCAGGCAAATCTCTCTTTTCCATCACCTGCTCTCTGAGCCAGGAACTGAACCTGGGACTTCCTGCATTCAGAGCATGCACCCTTTAGCTGATCTATCCTTCTCCCTCTCTTCCCTCAAGAGAGAATCAGGATGAGCTTGGGTATGGCAGGACAAAGGCCAGTCTATGCAACCTATCGCTCAAGTAGCATCTTTTCAAGCAATCTCATACTGTTTTGCCAATTAACTCTGCAGATTCTTTAAAGGATCTTCAGTAGTC